AGGGGTGGCAGGTGGCGATCAGGACGGGGTTGGGTGACTGGAGTGGGGGGGATGGCAGGTGGCGATCGGCACGCGGGGGGGGGGGGGGGGGGGGAGGGGTGAGGTGAGGGAAGGTGGTGTTTAGGTGGCAAAATCCCCATTGACGGCATGAGCAACGCCTACGACAAGATGCGGATGGAAGAGTTGTCGTAGCCCGCGATGAAAAAGTGGAAGGGACCGGAGAGATGGCTGGTTGGGAGTGCACCTGCGCAGGCGCGCTCCCCAGCGACAAAGGCGGAAAGGACGCCCGTGGCGACATCAAAGGTGACCCGGCACGGAACCCGATGCGGCATTGGAGTGCCAGGGAGCGAGGCCAGGGTGTTGTCCACCTTGATGGAGTCCGCCACCCAGCAGATGGTGTTCTCGGTGTTGTACTTGACGACGCTCGGAAGGACGCCACAACAGACACCGACCGAGACGTAGCCGCCCGACTCGGTCTTGCCGTTGCTGAAGGCATGGACCTCAAAGTCGAAGTTGGCCACGCCCGATGTGATGGCTGGAGTGAGGACGGCGCTGCCGTAGGTGGAAGCGGCACAGGTCATGATGTTGTTGCTCACGGTGGCACTGACAACCCGGGTGACATCGATCGAGTAGACATGCGAGCCGAGCGAAGGCGTGGTGATCGAGCCGTAGTCGGCGATCGAGACCGGAAAGTCCGGCAGGTCGGTGATGAGCTCGGCCGTGATGGGAAGGTTAAGAACGGGCGGGTCGGCGATGACGGCGCAGGCGACTTCCTTGGCCGAGCTCTCAACCTTCATAAACTCGATGTCCGAGAGCTGGAGAGAGTGGTTGATGCCCGCGGAAACAGCCTTGCACACCGAGACAAACTGGGCGATGGCCGCAAATCGAGCCTTGGCCTTGTGCTCACTTTCAGCCAAGATAGAGTTGACCATGTCGACGAGCTCGGTCTCGCGAGCACGAAGCTGGGCGATGGTGTTGTCAAAGAACCGGTTGATACCTTCGATGACCTCGTTGGCCGTTCCGCGCTCCGCGCGCAGGCCAAGCTTGGACATCACCTCGTTGAGCGTTGCCAGGCTCGTATCCACCTCGAGCAGCATGGAATCGAGCTGGTTCAGCTTGGAGCTCAGCTGTCGCTTACGCTTGGCAGCAACATCCTCGATCTTCTCACCCTGATGCCCGTGGTGGCGGCCATGCGGAGTGAAGCACGCCAGACAGCGCAGGGGATCCGATGCGCACCCAGGTTCGGTGCAGTACATGGTGATGGGCATGCTGGACTGGTCACACATCGAGGTCCGCGTCGTCGCCTCGGTGATCGGCGGGCGGTCCGCCCACCGGAAGAAGCTGCAAATCCGGTCGGCGCAAGACGCGCAGTAGAAGGTGCCGTCCGGGCTCTTCTCAAGGAACACAGTCGCCACCGGCACCGGATCGTCGTCGTCGTGCGAGCCTTCGCAGAGGAGAACCTGGTCGCGTGGAGGGTGAACTCGGCAATGGGCGTCAGATGCTTGATGAACTTGGTGTTCTTGACAATCTCACAATCGTCACCGCATGTGGGACACGTGCCTGATGACACCTCGCCGTTGCTACCGTTGATGGCACACTCTCCGCAGATGGAATGTCCGCACGACTGGCTGCATGCCACGACGAACGGCTGCTGCGTCGTGTCGACGGCGTTGAACGTTTTGTGCACAGGTAGCAATCAATCGAGCGCGGCTGCGTGGCCGAAGAGGCCGACGCCGAGGATCCAGCCTCGGAGGTACATGCTGACTCTGACATGATGATGGGGAGAGATGGGTATGCCCTTGGAACTCTGGCTGGCAAGAGCCAGATTGAGCCGGTAGTTTTCTTGCGGGAAAGTGTGACATCCGTGCAGGTGAGGGAGAATGCTGTGACAGCCGCGCCGTTTGCTGATACGTCTTGAACAGGCTGTGAAAAAGGACAGGGGGGGGGAGGCAAGGTAGTGGTCATGTTGAAAGTCATGGGCGTGCCTGGGATGGGGAGTAAGAGGCGGGACTGGGAGGGGGGGGAGGGGGGGGGCGAAAGAGGCAAAACGTCACACTTGTGTTCCGCGCGTCTCAGCTCGGTTGGCGACAAGGACAACCAGGAACAAGGACAATGGATTTGATGAGCTGGCAAGAGTGCGAGGAAGGAGTAAGGGAGAGGTGCGAGAGGGCGAACGGGCACGCATCCATCATTCTTCGCATTGTTCAGGCACCAAACGACCGGCCTCGGCCACAAGCTTGACCAGTACATCGCCATGGCACGGCTTGGGCTTGCACCAACAGCCAAGAGTCTTGCCATTGAGCTCGGAGAGCGCAGCCATGAGATCTGGCTGGGCGCGGACGTACCGCTCGTAGGCGGCGCAAGCAGCCGCGTGCGAACCAGCCGACTTGACCGAGAACGGATTGGCCCACTTGCTTCTCTTCAGCCGCCATCCGCCCATAAACATGTTCCTTCCGATGTACACATCGCAGTCGACCACTACTTTGCCACCCTTTCGGCGGATCCGGACCACCCGAGTCGCCGTAGCCTTGGGCCGAGCTGAGATCGAGTTTGTCTTGACGTGCTCGCCAGTTGTACCGGCAAGCAGCCTAGCCACCTTAGACTCTCGGCTCGCACTTGATCCCTCCTCACCGCAGTCGCGCTTGCGCTTGCTCGGCGAGCTTGCACCAACCAAGTCCGCCATTGCGATGGAGTCAGGCGATGAGTCGCGGTCGCGAACAGGGAACTGACTTGCACATCGCCGAGTCGCACAAAGCCGCCCAAAGTCACCCATCAACCCACCCATCCGCCCACCCATCAACCCACCCATATCACCCACCTCGTCTCCACCCATCAACCCACCCATCACCCAGCTCATCTCCACTCATCAACCCATCCATCCCCACCCTCACCGAGCTCATCTCCATCAATCGTTCGCCCGCACCCGTTCGTTTTCACCCCCGTTCGTTCTCACCCGTTCGTTCTCACACCCGTTCGTTCACACCCGTTCGTTCACACCCGTTCGTTCACACCCGTTCGTTCACTCGTTCGTTCACCCGCTCACCAACGCCAATTGTTCTCGGTCTCGTTTGTTTCACTTTTTGGTCGTCACAGTCGTCTCCGATGCGGGTCTTGGTGCTCGGAGCGACGGGCTTTGTCGGCTCAGCCGTTGCCCGTGCCTTTGTAGTTGCCGGCTACCAAGTATTCGGTACCTGCCGCACAGAAGGAAAGGCTGCTGCCCTCCGCCGTAATGTACGCCCTCTTCCACCCCTCCACACTCCCTCTCCCTCCTTCCCCCCCCCCCCCTCCTCCTTCCCCACCCCCCCCCCCCCCCGCGCCTCTGTCGGTCGCTTCATCGCAATTTGATTGATTTCGCCTTTGAAGATTTTTTCTCCTCCTCCTCCTCCTCCTCCCCACCGCCCCAACCCTGCAAGCATGCGCTCCCTTCTCCGCACACGCCCAAGCTTGGACTCTCTGTAGCTCCTCCTCCCATCCTGTTTGTGAATGCTGATGATTCAACATCATGCACCACTCTGCATTTTAATGATGATACCTTTATCTACACCAAGATCTGTTATGAAGTCATTCTCAAACAAAAGGATATATTTTTTTGGAAAGGCAGGCGACGAGCTCGCGCAAAGCGCCCGCAGCTCGGTCACTTCCTTCCTTGCCGCCCTCGTGGCTTTGTTTGTCATTTTTGTATGACTCACTCGCTCGCTTGCTCTCGCTGTGTGGTATTTTGTTTGCGCGCCTTCTGTTGGGATTTTTTCGATCGATGTGCAATTGTAGGAAATCACTCCGGTGATGTGCGACCTCGCCAAGGCTGAGAGCTACGCAGAGGCGCTGGAGGACGTTGGCGTCATTGTGCACTGCGCACTTGATGCCACCGCCCCGCAGAAGACCGATGCTATCGTGGTTGATGCCATCAATGCGGCGTGCAGGGCAGAGCCTGGGAAGACTGTCATCATGCTCTCGTCCATCTGGTATGTTATCACTCTGCTGACTCTGCTGTGCCCCCCCCCCTCCTTCCCTTGCCGCCTTCCCCTCCCAAGAGTCCTCTCTGCCGGAGCAACTGCTGGTCCTGGCGCGGTGCTGCGGATGATGATATCATATCTTTGCTGAAGGAATGTCCTGGCTGCAAGCAATTGTAGTCGGTGTGCCTCGTTCTGAGGCCCCTTTGGGACGCCTCCAACCTTTGATGCCGTCGGGCACACCGCCCGACACATAGTTACTCTGACGCGCCCTCATGCCGCGCTTTGCCTTGGCCGTCCGGCCGTGAACGGGTGGTTGACTCTAGTTAGACTCACTCTCTCTATCCCTGAATGCGGTGACAACAGGATGTACGGCGAGCAGCGCCGGGTCATTGACGAGGCGACGGCCGACAACCCGCCCAAGCTCATCCGCTGGCGGTCGAGCCATGAGGAGTCTGTCCTCCGCAACGAATGCGTCGCTTCGGGCTTTGTACTCCGCTGCGGCGTGGCCTACGGCCGCCAGGGTTCGCTGCTCTCAGTTTACGCCGGGCAGGCTGCAACCCACGGCTCGATCCGGTTCCCCGGTGACGGCGCCAATCACATGCCGATGGTCCATGTCGATGACATTGCGCGCGCCTGTCTGGCCGCCTGCGAGTCAAACCTCCTCGGCCCTAACGTGTTTGTTGTCTCGGCCTCGAACGTCATGGTCGCCGAGCTCATGCACGAGCTCGCCACCGCCTGCGAGCTCGATTCGATGGACAACGTCGCGTACACGGGCAAGCCCCATAACATCGACCTTTTCGGTCGCTGCCTGGTCATGGACCAGAAGGCCGACGCCTCGTTCACCCGCTTGAAGCTGGGTTGGACCCCGCTGCACCGTCCGTTTTGCGACGATGCCGCCCGCTACGTCGAAGCCATGCGCGAGTTCTTGTAGAATCTTGCACCTGATGAAACACCTCCTCAACTCCTTTACCACCACACAATCAACCTCCTCTAGCTCTCGACCGCCTCGCGCGCCCGGCCCAGTGCCTGGAACACGCCCTTGACGCGGTCGAGCACAGCGTCGCGCGTCTCGTCGGCCAGCGTCCGCCCGATCACCTGCGCAAACTTATCCGGATGCCACCGCCGCGAGAGCTCCTTGTACGCTCCGGACCCGTCCACACGCAGCATGACCACCATCGATGCCTCCAGCCCAGTCCCTGGTGGTCCGACCAGCGGCGGCCACGGGATGTCGCCCATCCGGACCCATCCCGACCGAGCGCTCGCCGCCGCGCCACGGACAGACCCAACAAACGCCTTCCACGACTCGTGGTGCTGCTCCACCCGGACTCGCATCATCCGCGAGATCGCCATTGTCCCGGCCGCTCGACATCCGTCATCAGGCTCGTTTGCGCCAACCTCCTCTGCCCGAGGCCCGCCTGCCTGGTGCCGTGCCCTGCGCTGTCGCGCCGCTGCGGCTGCCGCCGCTGCTGCTGCCGCCGCCGCCGCTCCTCTTCTGCCTGATTGCCGGCTCCTCTGTCGCCACTGATGCCGCGCGCCCGACATCCGCGCCGCCGCCGCCCGGCGGTGCGCCTTGGTGTCGACTGGCACACTCCGCCGCGCCGCATGCTTTGCACGCTTCGCCTGTGCGGCATCAACCTCGCGCTGCGCCACACTTGCCCGTGCACGCTCTACCGCCCGCCGCTCGCGCTCGGCCTCGCGCTGCGCGTGCTGCGCCGCAGCCTCGCGGAGCCGATCCGCTGCCGCTGCTGCTGCCGCTGCTGCCTCGGCCTCGCGCTTGACTCGCTCAGCCGCCAAAGCTGCCTCGGCCGCCGCTGCTGCTGCTGCAGCCGCTGCCGCACGCCGCTTGGCCTCAGCGGCCTCAGCAGCAGCCAGTGCAGCAGCCACCTCTTGTTCTTTGGCAGCTACGCTGTTAAAGACCGAGGCGAGGCGAACAGCAGCAAATCTTGGCTCCGCCCCACTATCCGAGTCCTCGATGTCCGAAGATGCCTCGGCCTCGGCCTCGACCTCGGCTGGCGACGACGACAGCGGCTGCGGTGACGGCGAGAGAATCGACGATGACGAGACTTCAGTGGACAACACGTCATCACGTCGAAAGCCAGGTGTCGATACCATCTCGTCTGGGAGCAGTCCCGGATCAAAGTACACCTCCACATCGCTCCCTGAAACCATCTCCTCTGACTCGTCCGACGACGACGCCGACGCCGACGATGACAGCACAGATCCGCCACTCGCCTCATCCGCGCCCAACAACCCACAATCGCAACCATCCTCGGCCTTGTCCACAACGCCATCAAGCCGGCCTTTGTATTCCTGAATCCCACCAGCATCAGCGCCGGCATCAGCACCGGCAGCAGTGCCGGCAGCGTCCACGTCACGGGCACCATCGACAGCTTGGTACGGTGCGGCTGCAAACGGACGCGGACGGGCTGACTTGCACGCAGAAATTTCAGGATGTCTTGGACTTTGCCCGATCGCTCTTGTCGTACTGTTGTCGAGTCCTTGCGCCTCGAACGGCGGTATATTGCGGGCTTGGAAAGACGGGGAAATGTCAGTTGAGCTCGCCTGCCCACATGGTCTGCTCGATTCGGCGATGATGGGGATGGGGACAGCGGAGACATGGAGCGTTTCTGAAGACTGCAAAGTAGGTATGTATGTAGTTGATTGTGTCTTCTCGTTCAGGTCTGCCCCGCTACTCACTCGCTGTAGGCACCCGCCCATGGCGCCTTTGAGTCGGGTGCCCTTCACCACGCCCTCCCGCGATTGGTCGCTCGTCGGCGGCTCACTTTGGCGCGTCGATCAGTGGAACGATGAATTCATCGATGTCGCATTGAGTTCTCGTCGCAGCGAGTCGTGGACCACACCGATTGTCAGTGTACATCATCGACATCCATGATCTGTGACAACAACACGCCTGTCGCACTGTGCTCGGTTGACTCGGCTGCGGAGTGTGGCATGCGAGCTACGGATGGGCTCAAAAGACAGTGAGTGGGTAACCATATCGTGCAGCAAATCAACGATCTTTGTATCTCCGCTGCACAACCAATGAATCAAGCTGAGTTCTGCACCCCTCCACTACTCACCGTGGGCACACAGGACTTTTCCTAACGAATTATGGTCAGTATCCATATCAAGGGTCCTCGTCCGATCTGTTCAGATGATGTGGATGATGATGATGCGGTAGTTTGAAAGAGCCAGACAACGGTTCGCCGTGTCAACAGCTTCGGCTCGGGGTGCTCGACACACTTGTCGCTCACATCTACTTTCGCACACACAATCATGGCTGCTGTTGCCGTCTCTTCACCTTCCAAGCCCGCCACCGGCGAGAGCTCAGGCCCCAAGGTCGCCAAGCGGTACGTGAGCTTGAATGTACCCAGTGTGCGATATCCCAGCGCTGGCGAGCTTTCGCTTCTTTGTGGTGGCCGTTGCGGCGGCAAGTCGGGGAGACGAAAATTTTGAAAGTTTTACCAACGGACAAACTCACACAAGTATGGATGGAGGGGGTTCAGCCTGCAATCGGAGCTCATGTCGCTGATGATGTCGGGCGACGAGGGTGTGTCGGCCTTCCCGGATGGGGACAATCTGTTCCACTGGGTGGGGACGGTCAAGGGCGCCGATGGGACGGTGTACGAGGGCCTCGAGTATAAGCTCTCGCTCACCTTCCCGACCTCGTATCCGTACTCGGCGCCAACGGTCAAGTTTGTCACGCCGTGCTTCCACCCGAACGTTGATCAGTACGGCAACATTTGCCTCGACATTCTCAAGGACAAGTGGTCGGCGATCTACAATGTTTCGACCATCCTCATCTCTATCCGCTCGCTCCTTGGCGAGCCGAACAACGACTCGCCGCTCAATGGCTACGCCGCTGCGCTGTGGGACAACCAGACCGAGTACCGGGCGGTCAATGTCAAGAAGTTTGCCGAGGGCACTGCGTGATGACGGCTGATCACTGCCTCTCCGTGCTGCGGAACTCGGGCTATCTTGTCATCCTGCCTCGGCTCCCGGCGCGCCTCCAACGACCCCCCCCTGGCGCGCGCCATCTGACCGGCGCGCTACCTTCCTTGTTAACTCTGCCCCTCAATCGATAAATGACGGACCTCCTCCTCCTCAACCACGGCACGGCGGCGGCTGCGCCTCGCAACACACATTTATGGGGGCGCGGGCGCCGAGGCGAACGAGTATGAGCCGGTTCCGCGGCGGCCGCCGTCTTCGATGAGCTTACTCGACTCTTCGAGCAAGCTCATCTGGGCGGCGAGGTCTTTGGAAGCAAAGAGCTGCGGGAGCGAACGCTGCGACTTGTCGAGCAAGCGCTTGAGCTGGACGACATGGCCGTGCTGGAAGTAAAAGGCGACGCAGTCGCCGCGCGATTTGGCAGGCAGGAACGCAGCGATCTTGTCAAACTGCTTCGGGTACATGAGAAACTTTTGGACGTAAATGAACATCTCCTGGCGAGTCCACGGGTTGGCCGCCGCCACAAACGCGTCGGTCCGGGCCACGTCGTGCATTCGCCCGTTGTTGTCGATGAAGATCGGCGTCTCCAGGCACGACCGCCGGTCCGTCCGGAACCGGATCATGTCTGGCAGCTCGGCGTGGACCGAGACCGGCCTGCCGTCGGCGTTGGTTGAGACCAGCGCCTCGGCCTCGAGCCGCGCAAGGATCGCCGCAAACTCTGCGTCCGATCTTGCCGAGTCACGTCCGGAAATCGGGGTCCCGGGGTTGGCTGCGAGGCCCAGTGGGGTGGTGAACAGCGTCTTGGACGTTGTCCGTCGCCGGCTCGAGTTGCCCGACATCCGTGCGAGGAGCGCTGTCTTTCGCGCATACTGCTTCTCGAGCTCGCTGTACTGCTCGGCCGCCTCCAGGCGCTTGGCGTGTCGCGCTGCGAGTGCCTTGGCAAGCTTGGCCTTGACCCGCGGGCCCATGACCACGTGCCGGGTTGCCGAGTCGTCGACGCAGGCTAGCTCAGCCGGCGACGTATACAGCGGCCGGCAGTTGACTGTCATGCCCAGCTGTGGCTCGTCAAGAGAGAGCGCGGTCCGAACCGCCGGCGGAAGCACCGACGTGACTTCGTTGTGTGCCGAGGTCGCTGCCGCACGGTTCGAGCTCAGCACGTCCTTCACCACCCCGAGTGAGCCGAGCGGGCCGTCGTCCGGAAGCTGCTCCAGTCGCGGCAGCATCGGCACTCGCCCGGAAGTCCTAGCGTCTGCGACCTCATCCATGACAGCTGCCGCCTCTGCAGCAGCAGCCTCGTTCTTGGAGCCACCAGCTGCCGCTGCTGCTGCTGCCGCTGCGGCGGCCACCTTTGCTGCGGCCACTTCCGCTGCCTGCTCCTCGAGCTTGGCTGCTGCGGCGGCCACAAGCTTGTGTTCGCGCTTGGCCTTGGTCGCCAGCTTGGTCAGCTCGAACTCGACCTTGGCCACCTCGAGATCCAGCTTCTCGATGGCAATGGTGAGCTGGGTCTTGGTCGGAAGCTCTGGTTGGTCCACTGGCTGCGGCTCCGGCAGCGGGCGTGCCCGCTTGGCTGCCGGGGGACCGACACCCGGCGACGACGTCTCGCTCGTGGCCGCCTCTTCGGTCGCAGCACGCTTGAGTGACGGGGAGCTGACTGGCGCCGCCGGCGGTGTGCCGAGCGACGACGGCGGGAGAGTGGCCGAGACACTTGGCGACGGTGCTGCCTGCGGCAGGCGCTCTGCCTGCGGCAGGCGCTCTGCCTGCGGCGGGCGTTCTGCCTGCGGCGGGCGCTCTGCCATCGGCGGTGGAGGATATGCGCCGCTGGGCGCAGCCAGGGGCCGCGGGTCACGTTCGCGGTCACGGTCACGGTCGCGGTCCCGATCGCGGTCCCGGTCTCGGTTCCATTCTCCGCTTGCCCGGTCGCGTCCACGGTCGCGGTCGTGGCCTTCGCGCCCGCGGTCACCGGGCCGTTCCCATGTTCGCGGGTAGCTCGCCTGGGCTGGGCGTGGCCCAGCCGGTGGCGGCGGCGGTGGTGGGTAGCTGCGGACGGGTCCGGGGCGATCTCCGCGGTCGCCCGGGACGAGCGACGGTGGTGGTGCTGTCGGTGCCGGTGGCGCCAACGACGAGCCTGACGGACCACCGGTGCGATGGTGCGATGATGGAGTGTGGTGATGTGAGTGGTGGTGCGAGTTGTGGTGCCGCGAGCCGCGGTCGTAGCCAGCCCGGTCACGATCGCTACGATCGCCGGCCCGATCGCGGTCGCGATCCCCAGCCCGGTTGCGGTCGCCGCCGCGCTCGTCGATCCTGTCGCCGCGGTCGTAGCCGCCAGGACGGTGATGCGAGCGCGAGCCCTGCCCGTAGTACGAGGCTGACGGATGCTGGGCAGACTGGCTACTTCCACCGTGGACGACGTCCATGTCGCGCTCTGACCCATGGCCGAGCGAGTGGCGATGCGAGTGCGAGTGTCCCGGCCCGTGGCTGTGGCCGTGGCCAGGTGGCCCATGCCCGTGGTTGCTCGACCGGTTCCCTCCACTGCTCCGTGGATAGCCACCGGCTGACCGCGGCGGCGGCGGCGGGCGGTAGCCACCGTGTGACAAGCGGCCCGCAAGCGGCCCTGAGAATGCGCCTCCGCTAACCTGTCCCTGTCCGGGACCAGAGTTGCCACCACCATCACCACCCGGCGGGCCTCCAGCCGGACCCATTCCGGGCGGAGGAGGATAGCTCCGCGACGACGATGACGAGTTGTGATGAGCATCCCTGCCATGACGATGATGACCATGACCGCGACGACTGTGGCTGTGGCTGTGGCTGTGGCTGTGGCCATGACCATGACTGCGACCGTACTCAATCTCATGACCATGCCCACCATGGCTTGTCCGAGAACCTCCACGTCCAAGGCCATACCCGCCATGGCCACCATGGCTGCTACCGTGGCTGCTACGCAAGCCAGCACCAGCACTCCCGCCACCGCCACCACCACCGCCACCACCACTGCCAGCAAGCTCCCCACCAGCCCATTCCCTTGCCTCCCGACCTCTCTCCCATTCGCTGCTTTCCCACTCCCTCCCTCCACGGCGCCCACTCCCTCCGAGGGGACCGACCCGTCCGCCAGCTCCTCCCCCTCCTCCACCTCCTCGCCAACCACCACCACCACCACCACCACCACCACCTCCGCTTGGTCCACCGCTTCCAGGGTGCTCACGCTCACGCTCACGCTCACGCTCACGTTCGCGCCATGTATTCTGCATGGGCATGGACTTGCCCCCCACTGTGGCACAAAGTGAGGTGGTCGGGGTGGGTGGGTGGGGGTCGTCCGTGGGTGACCTGACCGGTTGGGGGCGGAGGAGACGGTCAGCGGAGGGAGAGGCTCGCTCGTGTACGAGCTCAACCTGGCAAGGGCATATCGGGGTGGGGGTTTTGATGATCGAATATAGTAGGGTAATGGGGTTGGAAACAAGGTAGGAGTGAGTGCGAGACTCAAACCGATTGCGGTTGAAATGTGGGCTGTAAACAGAGAGAGAGTGTGTGTGTGTGGCAGGAGGGAGAGGGGGGGAAGGGGGAGTCTGCGTCGTGTTGGTCGCACTCGCAACTATGATGCGACGCCGCCGAGACTCTGGCCGTGCACTACCTGCTAGGAAATACGTCACGACGATCAACCGATCAGCCGATCACACTTACCCTTCCCCTATTTACCCCCCCCCCCCCCGTCACAACAAAAACCACGACCTTTTCACAGCATCTCCCCACCTCCCCACCCTCCCCCTCACCTTCCACCCTCCCCCCACCCCCCACCACATACGTATACCCATACACGGCACTCATTTTTGCATACGTACGCAAGAGAAAACCATCTTCACTACCTCTGCCCTGCCTGACTCTTCCCCTTGTCCCCCCTCCCCCCTCACACACACCTCCTCCGCATGGTATACCATGTTCCCAAGGTTATGCCAACAAAGTGGTGGCCCCCCAGGACCCGCCCTCTCCCCGTCCACCTCCCCGTCCCCCTGCATATAGCCCCCCCCCCCCCCCCTCCCTCCCCCCCCTCCTTGTGCTACATCCCCACTACACTCATGGTATGTGACTTGTGGGGTGAACAGGGGAGCATATGTCTGCTGGAGAGGACCAGAAGGAAACTGTGACCCCAGGTGGGATGGACGAGGTGGTGGCCGACGAGCGTGTCGAGGTGGAGGGGACCGAGGGTGGCGAGGCCGGGGCAAGTGGAGTTGAGCACATTGTGGAGGAAGACATGGAGGCTGGCAATGAGGCAAAGGCTCGCGGGAACACAGAGTACAAGGCTGGCAACTACCGCGGCGCGGTGGAGGCCTACACGGAGGCCATTGCTCATGCTCCGTCCGAGCCGGCCTTCCATGCCAACCGCTCCATGGCGTACATCAAGTTGGAAAAGTACCACGAAGCGCTGGAGGACTCGCTCAAGGCCATCGAGCTCAAGCCCGACTATCTCAAGGCCCATCTCCGCGCCGGCACCTGCTACCGCATGATGGGCGAGTTCTCCAAGGCCCGTGCCCAGCTCAACGTTGTCATTTCTGCCGATGCTGGCAACACGACCGCGAGCTCGGAGCTCGGCCTCATCACTGTTGTCGAGCGCGACATGGCCCAAGGCTACGAGCTGCTTGCCGCCGGCCAGGCCCGCCCCGCCTTTTCGGCCTTTAAGTCGGCCCAGCGGGTCGCCCCGCTCTCCAAGAAGGTGCTCATGGGCATTGCCGAGACGTACCTGGCGCTGGGACAGCATGCCGAGGCATCATCGATGGCCTCGCGCGTCCTCCGTGAGTCGGGTGACCGCAACGTTGACGCGCTCTACGTCCGCGGCGTGGCGCACTACTACCTGGAGAACTTTGACCTCGCCATCAACCACTTCCGCATGGCCGTCCAGTACGACCCGGACCACAAAAAGTCCATGGCCATGCTCAAGCAAGTCCGCAAGCTGACCAAGGCTAAGGCCCGTGGCAACGAGGCCTTTAAGGCCCGCAATTTTGCCGACGCCATTGAGGCCTACACCGCCGCCCTCGCCATCGATCCCAAGCACGACGCCTTTAACGCCAAGCTGTACAACAACCGTGCTGCCGCCGCCATCCATCTCGGCGACTATGACTCGGCCGAGGCCGACTGCAACGCTGCCATTGCCGCCGACTCGGGCTACGCCAAGGCTTACGCCCGCCGCGGCTCGGTTCGCCTCGAGAAGGAAATGTACCAGGAGGCCGTCTACGACTACGAGCGCGCTGTGCAGCTCGAGCCCGAGAGCCGGAGCTTCAAGTCGGAGCTCCGCTCCGCCAAGCACGAGCTCAAAAAGTCGCTGCGCAAGGACCTGTACAAGATCCTCGGCGTCACCAAGCGCGCCACCGACTCGGAGATCAAGAAGGCGTATCGCAAGCTTGCCCGCACCTGGCACCCGGACAAGCACGCCACCGCCGACGAGGCCGACCAGGCCGCCGCCGCCGAAAAGTTCAAGGACATCCAGTTGGCCTACGGCATCCTCTCCGACGACCGCAAGCGCGCCCAGTATGATGAGGGCCACGAGGTCTCAGACATTGACTCGGGCCAGGCCGGCCACAACCCGTTCGGCGGCATGGGCGGCTTTGGCGGCGGCGGCGGCATGCACGGCATGGCTGCCGAGGACCTGTTCAACATGTTCGGCGGCGGCATGGGCGGCGGCATGGGCGGCTTCCGCTTTTAAGTCGGAGAAAACCGTGCCGCAGAGAACTTGCCGCTGTGCACCTCCCGGTCGAGAACCTCGTCCGTCCCGAGCGCGTAGTCGGCAAGGACCTGCCCGATCGCTGGCCCAAACTTGAAGCCGTGGCCCGAAAACCCGGCCCCGACCACCACGTCCGAGTGCTCGACGTGCTCACCGAGGATAAAGTCAAAGTCTGGCGAGTTGGAGTAGATGCACCGGATGGCGGTGACAACCGAGGCGTTGAGGCCCGGGAAGAGCTCGTCCGCAAACTCCCGCGCCAAGCCCAGCATCCGCCTGTTGATGCCAAAGTCGCGCGTGGCTGGATCCGGCCGCTCGCTCAGCGCCTCGCCCTCGTTCATTACCGCCACCTTGACGCCCGACACCCCGCCGCGGACCGCCGGAATGCCGTAGAACCCGCGGGGCGTGTCGTCAAAGTAGTGCCCGATGAACGTCGGCATCGCTGCGGCGCTGTGGTCGATGCCCGATCCGGGCCGCGGCGCAAAGTACGTCGTCTGCTCGTTGGACATAGCCAGCGGGAGCTTGCGCAGCCCTGACGCCTTCAGCACCGTGTTGGTCCACCCGCCGCCAGTCACCACGATCTTGCGTGCCCTCCACGCACGGCCGTCGTCGGCTACTACCTGATGGACCGCGCCTTGCTCGCCGAGTTCGATCTTGCCGACTCGGGTGTGCTCGCACACGGCCGCGCCGTCGGCCTCGGCTGCTGCGTAGAGCGTGGCCACTGCAAGCGAAGCGTACACCACTGATCCTGCTGCTTGGTACACCGCGCAGTCGCCGGGCCGCAGCTTGAACTGCGGAAACCGAGCGGCGACATCGTCCGGGGAGAGCAGCTCGTAGACTTCGCCGAGTGCGTCGTAGGTGGCCATGAGGCTCGCCAGCGACTCTGAGTCGCTGGGGCCAAAGTCGAGCGAGCCGCAAACGCGGCGAACGGGCTGGCCAAGGCGTGGAACCCAGGCAGCGAGGACAGGCTCTCCAGGTGTGCCCGAGCCGGACGGCGTGTCGACCCGGTGCGGCGCGCCAGCCGCCAGTTCCGGCGCCCTCGCGGAGAGCTCGTCCCACATGCGGTGGGCGGCGTGGGCGAGGCCCACATACAATGGGCAGTCGTAGGCAATGCGGGCAATACGCCCATCGCCTGCTGACGATCCGTACGGGTGGCACCGCCCGTACTGCTCCACAAGGAGAGTCTTCGCCCCTGCCTTGGCTGCTGCCGCCGCTGTGGCCGCGCCCATCACCCCGCCGCCGATCACAATCACGTCGTGGACAGTCTCGCTCGACTTCCGGCAGGCAACGGCGTTGGAGAGCCCGGCGCGGAGAGCTGATGGCGCCACGAGCGCGCCACAGAGCGGCCCGAGTGCCGCAAGCATGTGTGTCAGAGAGGTGCGTGTGCATCTATTGTTTCAGGTGCTCCCTGTTGTCTTGGCCCGCTTGGCCGGCGGCGCGCCGGACGCCACCGCAGCATCTGGCGGAAGCTCGCGCTTGGTCGACGCCGGCGGAGCGAGACTGTCGAGGAAGGACGGTGGGAGATAGGCGGTGACGACCGGAAGGACGGCCGTCTCGGCAGGAGGGTTTGGGGTGGCCTCGCCGGCAGGGCTGGCGACGGCAGAGACAGCAGCAGGCGAGGCGGCGACATCAGCGTCGGCAGCTTCGACTGCGTCGGTAGGAGCGTCAAAGTCCCAGGTATAGCCTTGGGCGAGGTCGAACGACGCTTGCGAGTGCAGGACGTCGACGGCCTGGTTGACGTAGTGGGCGATCTTGGCTACCCGCGAGGCGAGGAGCGATGCAAGGAGCGGAGCCATGTAGATGGTGCCCTCGAGGACAAAGAACACGTCTGCCGGCTTTAGGTCCGTCGGCGATGTGCGATTGAGCCCCCAGATGATGTACAAGGCCGGCGGGCGCGAGCTGTTGGTGTCGAGGCGGTACTCTTTCCCCACAACGTTACTGCATCCCAAGCGCCCACGAATCCCACATCTTTCCTATGAGTCCCCCCCCCCCCCCCCCCCCTCCCCCTCCCCCTCCCCCTCCCCCTCCCCCTCCCCCTTCCTGTTCTCCTCCCCACGGCCACCTACCTCATCTCGTCCAAGTGCTTGCCAGCCCGGGCAGCCACCGCGTTGTTGGACTGCTGGTCGTAGAAGGGGGAGATGGAAAAGTAGTCCAGTACACGGTCGACATGCAGAGGAAGCCATGCCTCGTCACGGAAGCAGAGGTGGCTGAGCTCGCTCATACCCTCCTCCTAGATGTGCGTGAGGTGCTTGCCGACTCCCGCCCCACCGCCGCCCCGAGTCACCATCGCCGCCCGTCGACCTGCGCCCCGCCGTCTGCGCCTGCGCCCTCTTACTGTGCTTTGGCTGTGCCGGCCCCACACCCTGCTGATCAGCCATGCACCTCGACGTCTCATCTTGACGTCCCTTGCCTCTTCCATCCTACCCGCTCTTGCTCTCCCGCCGCCGCCGCCACGATGGTCGTGTCGGAAAAGGGCTTCAACTTTGGCGGCGATCGGGCGGCGATCGGGCGCGATCCCGCTGGGCGGTGGCGGTGGGGTCTGGGACCGAGCTAGGCCACCCACTCCTCTTGGACGCCGGCATGTCGTACCACAGCGACCGAGGCGGTGGTGGGGGATATCCTGGGCGGAGCAGCGGGGCTACGACCGCCGCAGCTCGGGCGGTGGTGGATACGGGCGGCCTCGCGACCGGTCGCGCGAACGGGACGAGTATAGCACCAGCGGGGCGGGCATGGGCGGCGGACCGCCGCAGGGCGGTGGGGGCTACGGCCACGGGCATGGGCACAGGCATGGGCACGGGCCTGGGCACGCCTACGACGCCCACTCAGGCATGCACGGAGGAGGCGGACCCGGACACAGCGCAGGCTACGGGCAGCCGGGCTACCCAATGCCGCCACCGCCTGCTGCTGGTCCGGGCTACGGGCGCGAGCGGCAGGGCCACGGGCACGATCGGCCGCGAGTCCATCCGCGCGCTGGGCAGCAGCTCTGGCAGGGTCGCGACCGGGCCGAGCGGCAGGGCCACGGCTCCCATCCGGGCGACCATCATCGTGGCGGGTACGTCGGCGGGGACGATCTGCGGAGCAGGGACCGTGGGCGGGACAGAGACCGCGACCGTGACCGTGGAACAGACCGTGGTGAGTACCGCGGTGGGAGTGGCGTGCCAGCTGCACGGAGGTCGTCGGTTCATGGCCGGCTGGGCCCGCGGCCGTCGGATGCGGCCGCAAGTACGTCACGCGACATCCGCCGCCCGCACATCGACGTCGAGTTTAAGGCTCCCGACGCCCAGCCGTCACCGCGAGAGGGTGTGTACCCATCACCGCGGGAGGCTCCCTACCCGTCGCCACGTGGACCGGCCATCGCCACGGATGGCGCCTGCGGCGCCGTCGCCACGGATGGCGCCTGCGGCGCCATCGCCACGAATGGCAGCTCCGGCGCCATCACCAGCGGCTGTTCCCAGCACGCCCAAAAGCCAACGTGCTACCATCCAGCAGAGCTTTCCGTACCAGTTGAGCCAAAGCGAGATCGAGTACGCGCGCGGGATGGAGGCAGCCGGCAAGGCGGTCGCCGCGTTCAACGCCGCCGCATGCGAAGTCGTCGCGGCCAAGTACCGGCTCGCCTACCTCGAGCGCTCTCTCGCATCGATCGACGACGAGGCCAAGGTCTACGGCCTGGACCTGGCGCCGGCTGTAGAGTAAACTGTATCATCACTTTAGCGCGGTCTACGAGGCTGGCGACGGGTCGGCTGGGAAGAGATCCCCCTTGAGCAGGCGGACAAGCTCGGCCGCAACGTCCTCGGACGAGTCGACAACAAAGGCATGCGGCGCGCCAGTGGCGTCGATGTACACATGTGGATGGTCCGGGTATGCTTCACGGGTCATGTGCGCGTGGTTGATCGGCGCCCATCCATCGTCCACTCCGTAGTAGAAGACCAAGTCGTCGATGATGGGCGAGAGGTCCGGCACGGCGTTGACAGTGACAAACTCGGTCCGAGCCATGCCGAGGACGGCAGCCGCGGTGGAGAACGAGAATGAGGAGAGCACAATGTCGGCCGTGCGGTCGTCGGCCGCTGCATCCGATGCCATCCGCATCACCGGCTTGACAAGCCGGCCGGGAAGCGCGCCCATGACCGCCACAGCGGCGGCCGCAGCATGTCGCAGCCCGGGCAGCGTCACGTAGTTGAGTACTCCGGCATGCTCCTTCATCGAGTGCAGCGTGGGGAAGAGGTTGATGCCGCGGATGATGTCAACGCCCGGTGCAGCCGCCTCGCCGCTTGCCGCGCCAGCTGCTGACGCGCTCTGCAGCATCAGTTGCGTCACAATGTGGGCACCGATCGAGTGGCCGGCAAGCACAAACTTGGGCGCAGCTGCCGTTGCTGGTGACTCGGCAATGGCACGGAGGATAGCCGACTTGTGCGCGATCTGCGACTCCAGATCCCAAGACAGCCGAGTGGGCGCCAGCTGTGGCTCTCCGGCGATGTGCGAAGCGAACGGGAGATCGAGCGAGGGCACCTCGACCTCGTTGGGAAGACCAGCAATGTGGCCGACATGGGAGACAGCAGCGACCGCGACCTTGCCTCCCCATGCCGCGTAGAGCGCAAGGAGGAACGGCTCGTAGAAGGAGACGATGCCCGGATTGCCCGGCACGAGCAGGAGAACCGTCGACGGAGGCTCAGCAGGTGCTTCGGCGTCGGGCGGAAGGAGGACGCGCGCCTCCGGGTGCTGCAGTACCTGGGTAACTACTCCGCCAACACGCACTCGGATGACTTCCATGGGGGAGGTGGCCATCGTAGGGAGAGGGGAGTGTGTGTCTGTGGGGGAGGGGGGGGGTTGAGCAAGCGGAGGTCGAGCGAGGGATGGCTGCCCGGCCTTTGGCCTCATGCCGCTTCACAGGCAGAGCATGCTAGAGCGAGACACGGTCGCACTCGTGCGATCCATCGATGAGAAGAGAGCGGGGAAGGAGGAGGGTGATGCAGTTGTTGTGGGATCTCTGCGTGGTGATGACGGATGGGAATGACGGGGGACAAGCGCAGGGCAAGCACATCGGCCAACGCTGTGGACAGGCTGAGGACAGGTTGCGAAGAGAGGCTCAGCTTGTGGAGGCGGGTTGTTGGATTGTTCCCGAGGTCGACCATGTGACGATCACATGTATCTGAGGGAGAGAGTTGAAAAGGGAGGTCTTAGATCAGCCCTGGCGTCGTGTCTCGCCGCCGCATATCGCCGCGCTGGCTGGCGCGACTAAGAGGGGACTCGGGCGACGAGCCAACCGACCGATAGCCCACGTAGGCGTTGCCCATCCCCCCCTCCTCCGCCCCTTTGCCTCCACCATCATGGATGGGAACCGTCCCAAGCGGTGCGGGCGGCCTATCCCGGCCATAGCAGCAGTCAAAGTGGGTCGAGGGTCCCAGTCCGGGCAGGTGACACGGGGCCGAGCTCCGTGTGGTCATACATGGCCATCATGCACGCAGCATGACGCACATGTACCCAGAATTGCGTGGCATACTGTTGTACTTGCCATTGCTTATGTTTTCCACGCGGATGGGTCTAAATCGCCTGCTATGCTTGGGTATGGGGCTGACGGGCGCTCGCCCAACTGTGGCAGCTGAGCTGAGTTGCTGTTGGCTCCCTTGACTCGCCTCGCCCCGCTCCTCCTCCTCGCTCCTCAACTCCTCTCTGTGGGTGCGAATGGCGTCCCTGGGTGAGCGCATGGACGCGCCAACCCACTACCACTGGACTCGCAAGAATGGGCGCAGATACCGGGTTGTCATTGTATGTGCAGCGTCACGGGAAGGGGGGTAGCGGTGAGGGCTCAAAGGGATCGCTCGCTGGCACTCGGTAGCGACCGGGAGAGGGAGAGGGAGAGGAGACGGGGGGGGGGCGGTGGCGGGGCAAAGAGTGGGGCCTGGGGGGGAGGGAGGCTGTGGGAACAGCGACTCATGGGAACGAGGGGCAGGTGTACGACCCGGAGGAGCTTGTGGGCACTGCGCGGGATATGTATGTAGAGGGACTGGCGGAGGACAGGGTGGGTGTCATGTTCTGCGACGGGCGCGACCGCGGGAAGTTCGCCGTGGCCCGGTTGACTCAGTTGGCTACGATTGGAGACGACGGCGAGCCTGTTCCGCTGCCGCGGCTGACGCCGGCGCGGGCAGAGGATGAGGTGGACTCGGGAGTGGCGGCGCGGTTGGCGGCGCGGATGCGACGTAGATTTGTGCCGGCTGACGTCTGTCCGTCCGCCAACGGGCTGACGAGCGAGGCGACGACGAGCAGCGAGCCGGGCGATGGCGAGTCGGCTGCCACGAGCGATGGCGAGTCGCGCCCGTCGTCGCCGGAAGTTGCGCCGCGGGCGCTGCCGCGTGGAAGCACGCGTGGGGTGCTGCCTGTGCGGGTTGTCCGCCGCCGCAAAGCATCCGGGTCGGTGGCGGCTGCGGCGTCGTGCGCAGACGTCCTTCCGCTCGGCACGGTCATGATGTATCCACCGGGCACCGCGCGCAAGCTGGGGCTAGTGGGCGACGAGGCACCGGGATCGTCTGACGACTCGGTCGGCTCGTCGCTCAGTCCCGGCGATCTAGAAGCGTTTGCGGTGCGGCGGCCGATGGTCCGGGCCCCGTTTGTGCTGGGCCTCTCGGACAAGGTTGTGCCGCAGGGCCAGCCTGGCCTGCGCGGACTCGGCAATCTGGGCAACACTTGCTTTATGAACGTCTGCCTCCAGGCGCTCGGCCACATTCCGCAGTTTGCGCTGTACATGCTGGAGCATCTCGCGGTGATTAAGCATCGGATTGTTCACGACGGCGCCATGCCGGCCAAGCCGTTCACCTACCACGCCCTCGGAACCGGCACTGAGCCGGCGCGTGCTCCTGCAGCTCCGCCGCGGCGCGGGAGGCGCCGGCGGAGCGTGGTGTCGAAGATCCCGCCGGTCATGGCGGCCCACATCGCCAAGAACAACCCGGGTCCGGGCTCGTTTGCGGCAGCCATTGAGCGCCGAGGGAAGGGCCAGAGGCGTGCGACCTCTCCTAGCCGCGCCTTTGTCTCGGGCCGGATCCTCTTCCGCCGCCCGCGCTCGTCAGACGCATGCACCTCGTCGTCTGGTTCGGCCTGCTCCGACTCTGCGACTGCAAGCGACAACGGGGGAGCTGGTGCGAGCTCCGACGCAGAATGCTCGAGCTCTTCCACCAACGATCTGTGGGAGCGACCCTCGCTCTGCGGCGATGCTGACTGCCTTCTGCGTGCCACTGTCATTGCCGCGGAGGTCCAGCGGCGGCGTGCCAGCCGCAGGGTTGTCGAGGCGCCGCCGCCACCGCCGCCGCCACCGGTCAAGCGCAAGCGCGGACGGCCCAAGGGCAGCAAGAACAAGCCCAAGACGCCGGCACCGGCAGCAGCGACCGCACCTCGTCCAGACGGCGAGGGAGTGCCAGTCAAGCGCAAGCGCGGACGGCCCAAGGGCAGCAAGAACAAGCCCAAGACGCCGGCACCGGCAGCCGCGACCGCACCCCCGACAGACGGCGAGGCGGTGCCAGTCAAGCGCAAGCGCGGACGGCCCAAGGGCAGCAAGAACAAGCCCAAGACGCCAGAGCAGGCTGCTGCTGCTGCGGCTAAGCGTGCTGAGCGCAAGGCTGCCAAGGCGGCCAAGGCGTCGGCGATGGCGGCTGCGGTGGCGGCTGCGGCTGCGGCGCGTAGTAGTGCAGCCAGCAAGAGCCCGCTGAAGCGGAAGCGCGGCAGCTCGCGGTCAGGCTCGGGCGGTGGCTCGGGCTCGGGCTCGGGCTCGTCGCGGACGACTCGCAGCCGGGCATCAAAGCGTGGGGCAGGCTCGCGCGGGCTCCGAGGCGGCATGCGCGGGTCGTCGTACCGCAACTCGATGCGTGTGACGCCGCTGGCGTCCGAGTGGCTTGCGGATCCGGACGGAGAGCCGGTCGACGTCGCTCCGCTCTGTTGCGTCTACCGCGGGTCGGCGGCGAGCCTTACGCCGAAGTTTACCGAGGCTGTAGGCGAGGGCATGCTTGTGTACACACAGCTTGTGGAGCACGTGCTCCAGGTTCTGTGGTCGGACGCGTCGGAAGCTGCCGTCATTCAGCCGGACGAGTTTGTGCAGAACATCTGGTCGATGGGAACCGAGCTGTTCCCCGGCTACGAGCAGCAGGATGCGCAAGAGTTTGTGCTTTTTCTTCTGGAGACGCTGCAGGAAGAGATGTCGCAATTCCTTCGCAGCTACCTTCCGCAGCTGCTGACAGAGCCGCCGATGGCGGGGCGGGGTGGGCTGCCGACGGCGCACTTTGAGTGGGACGTCAACCCGATCACTGCAGTCTTTCAGGGATTCCAGGAGTATACGACGACATGCTCGTCGTGCGAGTCGCAGACGCATCGGCGCGAGCCGTTCCTCACGCTGCGGGTGCAGGTGCCGGAGGAGATCGGGGCGTCGGGCGGCTCGGTGGCGCTCAAGACTTGCCTCGACCATGCTACGCGGACCGAGGTCTTGGACAACGACTCGAAGTACTTTTGCTCGACATGCATGCGGTACACGGTGGCGACGCGGTCGTGCTCGCTCGAGCTTCCGCCGGTTGTTGTCCTCCAGGTCAACCGCATCCGGTTTGCCAACTCGCGGCAGGCCAAGATTCGGGCGCATGTCGAGTTCCCGGTCACACGGCCGCTCAATCTGGGGCGGTACTCGGCGAGCCAGGCGCCGCAGCATTACTCGCTGGTAGCAGCGATTGTGCATCACGGTCGTGCCGTGTCGATGGGTCACTACTCGGTCCTGGCGCGGTACTCGACTCGGTCGTGGTTCGAGTTTGACGACGACAAGGTGACCCAGCGCTCGCCCGAGTACGTCGCAGCCTCGCAAGGCTATGTGCTTTTCTACCAGGCTTCGGCTCGCCCGTCGCATCTCGATCCGTTCCATCTCTCAACTCACTCGGCCGTCGACGGCGCCAACGAGCTCGCCCAGCTCGCCGCCCGCTATCGGGGCATGGTCCCCGAGGCCAGAGGAGGGCGCAAGCGTCGGCGATGAGGCGCAAGCCCGCAACGCCCCCCTCCTCTCCCCCCTCCCCTCAATCAGTCACTGGCAGCGTAATGCTCGAACGTGACCCGCAGTGGAGGCAGGTGGCGTGCCAGGCGTTGCCGTCGGCTGCCAGCTGCGAGCTCGACGAGTGCCCGCCGCACACCGAGCACACAACCAGCCGGCCGAGAAGCTCACTCGTGAGCCACTCGGCAAGCCACTCGGTCACTCTCCGCGCTCGGATCATCGATCGGGCCTTGGCTGCCGCAGCCAGAGCATCTGTCCCGCTATCGCATAAAGGCGCTTCCTCCTTGCTCTTCAGCTTGGGCAGGGCGAGGACGACGAGTGGGGCAGCGGTGACGAGCGTCGCGCCGGGTACGATGCGCGGAAGCGCCTTGGCAAGCGCCACCACCACAGCCGCAAGCGGAGCGCTGGCGACATCAGCCCAGGCATCAAGGCCGGAAACATGGTAGCGGATGGGCGCCGCGGTCGAGCCCCGATCGCCAGGCAGGAGGACCAGAGACGGGCGCGGGACAAGCGGCCAGGCCATGCAGGCCGGGTGCGGCAGGGTGTCCATGACCGGAAGGGCCGGGTCGGCCTCTCCCATAGCCGCAGCCCGGGCCAGGAGCTCTGCATATGAATAGAGGGGCATCTCTCTCTCTCTGTGTGTGTTTGGTGGTGAGGTGGTGACGATAGAGGCGACGTGGCGTGCCCACCAGCAGTGTCAGCGGAAGCGGCAGCAGCAGCAGTAGGCACCACACACCACTCCAGGACACGAGGGAGAGGAGGTGCGGAGAAAACTGAGCCCATGCCACCTGCCGAGCCCATTCCCATGGTACGTGCTATGCAGGCCTGCAAGCCGTCCTGTCGTCGTCGACTGCCCTTCCTTCGAACACCTTCCCCTCGCACCCCCCCTCCCCCCCCCTCCCCCCCCTTCCCTCACACACAACAACGACACACACAGCAGGACCAGGACAAGACGGCCGAGGAGGCCGGCGACGATGACGAGGCTGGCGGGAGGGAGGAAGGGAGCGGCGAAGGGCTGCAGATGCTGGCGCGGGAGGGCTCGCGGCTGCGTGGGGCGTCGGGCAAGAAGGGCAAGGCTGGGAAGACTGGGCGGCGGAAGTTGCAGGCTTCGCGCCGGCGGCTGTCACCCGAGCCACTGGCGGTCCATCGGCCGGCCAAGGTGCCGGCCAGCAACCCTCCGGGCCTGTGGAACCTGGGCAACACTTGCTACTTTAACGCGGTGACCCAAGTCCTGTTTCACATCCCAGCCTTTCGCGGCCAGCTGCGCCGGCTGGCCCGGTCGGTGCGGGTGGTGCTGCGGACGACAGAGAGCACCGAGCTACCGAATACTCTGCAGAATCATCACAAGTTGGTGCTGGACCTCGACGCGCTGTTCGTGTCGATGGAGACGGTCGGCCTTGCGGCGGTGCCGTCGCCCGAGGAGGCTGCCGGCGCGAGCGAGATTTTGGCTTCTGATCCGGTGGATGCGGGCACGCCGCCGGACACTGTGCAGCCCAAGGATCCACAGAGCGGCGAGACCTCGTCGACCGAAGTCGACCAAGACCTGGAGGCCACGCTGCCGCTAGACGCGTCACAACCAGGCCCTGGTTCGAGGAGTACGACGCCGGCGGACGAGACCAGTGGGCCGATGGAGCTTGGTGGAGATGATACCGTGGTGCTTGAGTCTGACGACGACGAGATTGTGGGTCTTGGACTCGACAACGATAAGCCTACCTCCAGCAGGCGCGTGTTGGCGCCGTCACCAGAGAACGAAGCCTCGTTTGGTGCCGTACCCGACAATGCAGGCGCGGCGCGCAGCAGCTACCATGACTACTTTGACGAGCACTTTTCGAACGCGGTCCACCCGAACGCGCTGTTCGACCATCTCAAGAGCGTGTTTGGCTACGGGCAGCACGACGCGCAAGAGTGGCTGCGGTACCTGCTCTCCACCATTGACGACGTGGCCGAGGCAGTCCAGAGCCTGATGGTGTCGGCGGAGAACGAGGAGCAAACTGTTGCTAGCACCGAGGCGGTAGCAGGCAGAAGTGCCCGCCCGCCACCGGTGGTGGTCGGGGTCAAGCGCGGCGAGCCGGATGAGGTACGGCTGGTGCCTGCGGGCAAGCGGCGGGTCGGGGCCAAGGTCGGCGAGCCAGTCGACGACCCAGGGAGCGGGGCCACTGTGGTGCCGAACCCGATTGCGGAGCAGTTTGCGGGCAAGCTCGTCTCGCGCATCCGCTGCTTTGGGTGCGAGAACGCAACGTCGACGACCGAGGCCTTTCAGGATGTCTCGCTCCCAGTCCGGCGTGCCACGTCGATGTCGTGGGCGCTCTCCCACTTTACCAAGACCGAGATGCTCAACGGGTCGAACAAGTACTCCTGCGCGTCGTGCAATGCCAAGAACGAAGCTGAGAAGACCATCCACTTTGCCGAGCTCCCGCCGATCCTCACCATCCACTTTAACCGGTTCTCAATGGACATGTACGGCACACCGCGCAAGATGAATGTGCACATTCCATCGCCGTCGGTCCTCCGTCTTTCGCGCTGGTGCACGCCCGAGTGCTCTCAGCGCCTCGACGAGTTTGAGCTTTTTGGCATCGTCTTCCATTCCGGCTCATCGTCGGGCTCGGGCCACTACATCTCGTACGTCAAGTGCGCGTGGGCAGACCCCAATGCTTCGCCGGGCGCGCCTGCTCCCGCCATGGGCTGGTACCTCTTTGACGACAACGACGTGACGCCTGTCGACGAGGACGATGTCCTCCGCAAGATCTCGCCTGCCTACTCGATCCTCGCCTCGAACGCCTATGTCATGTTCTACCGCAGGGTCGAGGCCGAGCCCGGCCCCGGCAAGATAAACTGATGGACAGAGTGCCAGCACGTAGATGAGCGGAGTAGGAAGAGCTATGAGTAAGCAGGTGGGGGTGGAGCTGTGGTGCAAGTGCCTAATACGCCTCTGGAAAAGAAGGGCTCGGGCGACGGCCAGCTCCGATCGCGCGTGTTCGGGGCCGACTCACACGCACCATCCGCAAAAGTAAAAAAGTGCAAAACAGTCTCCAAACCAACCAAAATAATACTTTTATATATTTTGCAACGTAAAACAGTATATATTTTGAATTTTACTGTACAAAATCATTTAATCATGTAAATTTAATAATGTGTTTATATAACTATAAAGTGTGGTCTTTACCAAAGCTTCTCACCTGTTTTGCCCGGAAACCCCCACATCGCGTCTTGGGGATAGCGTTCCCATCGCGTCTTGGGGATAGCGTTCCGGGAACGGTCGCAGAACGCTGGCGCCCAGGACCGTCCCAGGAACGGTCGCAGGACCGTTCTGGGACCGTTCTCAGAACGGTCCCGAACTTGGCCTTTAGCACCCTTCTCCCCCCTCCTGTCCGCATGCCGTAGTCTTTACGGAATCCCCTTGTGTACAAGTTGTAGGAATGTCGTGGGTACACACATGCCAAGTGTAGACCCTATGCGCTGCGCATTGCGCATGCCAGGCGTCGAAAACCGCGCGGGCGTCGTGTTCAGCCGCCCGCCACTGGCCACGGCGAACGGGAACGTTCCCACAACGTTCCTGGCGACCGTTCTGGGAACGGTCGCAGAGGGCGCGGATGATTGCGTCGCAGACGGGCCCGCAGCCGATGCGCATCCGCCTGCAGAAGGCTGATCGAGTGTACAAAGATCACATCATACTCGCCGACTACGAGATCCCCGACGTGTTCAACTTTGAGATGTTCTGCAACTAAGTTGTGATGCATGTTTACGGCGACCCAGTTCCGCGTGACCACGACTTGCTGCGGGCGGACCTGGTGCGCTGCAGCAGGAACGGCGGGCTCGGCCACTCGCTCGGCAGCTTGCCGACCGCGGCACCGTGCTCCTCCGCTTTCAACGATTCGACGAGAGCGATCCACTCGCTCTGTCTGCCATTGTCGACGGCTTGGTACAGCTCCATCACGCCACCCAACGCAAATACGTCGTGCGCAACCGCCATGCTGGCTGTTGAGTTGACACAACCAGGCGCGCGTGACCCGTCGCGCACCACACGGAGACGTGCCGGGTACACGGTTCCGACCGGCCGCGCAAGGTCAAAGTCAATGAGGTAACCTTTGCCGTTGTTGCCAAAGACAACGTTGCTACGGCGGACGTCGCCATGGACAATGCCCGCGGCATGGAGCTTCTTCAGCCGGGCCGCCACGTCGTCAAAGTGGGCCGTAGTCACGCCCGTGTCGTCGACCTCAACATCGGTCACAGCCTTGGTGACAACGACAGCAACATGACCAGGTAGCGCCTCGACCGTCTCGTTGTGGGGTCCGTGGAGAACGGTGAACGCTTTGTCGACCACCATCAAGCACATCCGCAGCTCGGGCGACGCAATCGTCCACGCATCCAGGTTCGGCCAGCGGCAGGAGGAGGGGCGGAACCACTTGAAGACAAATCCGGCGACAACCGCCACGTTGGGCCCAAACTGCTGCGGCGCAAGGCTTGGGTCCGCCAGGCGCTTGACCATGATCTGGGTGACCTCGGACATCGAAACTGCAAAGCCGGCCACAATGTCCACGTACGATGTGAGCGAGTCGGTCTTGAGGAGGCCCACAGCTACATGCTGCACCTGGTTTTCGCCGACAAGGTGAGCTGCAAGTTGCAGCGAGATGTTGGCGCCGGAGTTTTCCGGCGTGGGAAACGACCCAGAGAGTGAGAGGATCGAAATCACAGCAGGGTAGCCAGCAGCAGCCAGCCCCAACGCAGAAGCGTACGCCTCGACTTGTCCCCCCTTGGAGGAACTGCCGGGCTCAAAGATGCCAAAGCCGAGCTTGACTTGCTGGGAGTGGAGGCCCCAGAGTACGTCCGGCTGCGCGTTGCGGAGTACCGGGTGTTCGACCCACATCCACGTCCGCAATGGGCTTCGGTTGAACACAACAGCATCAGCACTGCGTGCGTCCGAGGAACTGGGATCATGCGAGTCTTCGCGGCTCTCGCGCGCATTTGTCACCCGAACCGGAAACTGCTCCAGTTGCGGGTTGGTCAGTTCTTCCTCCGCCTCGCTCATCGCGGCAAGCAGCTCGGTTGCCCGACGGTTTGAGTCTGGACGCGACGACGACGATCCGGACTGGGCCAGCTCCGACGTGATAGCGGCCAAACGCGTTGTTGCGCGCTCGACTGATGTCGCGCTGGCAATGACCTTGTCGAGATCTGCTCGATGCTGCAAGCAAAAATCCAAAGCACTGGCCGTGTGCTTGGCCAGCTCCGTGTCACTCGGAAAGGAAGTCGAGATCTCGTCGCCAAGAAAGACGTACAGCGACGACGTGAGCTCCGAGAGGAAAGTGCGTTCGAGATGGAAGGTCTGCATTGGGTCAGCATCAAGCCCGACACACGGGCTAGAGCTGGAGGTGAAGACCAGAGGCCAGAGTGATTGGGTGATGTCACGCACAGCCTTTTGCGTAGCAGCCTGCAGGTTACCAACGCGGCTAAACATTCCCAGGGCGACGTTGTGGTCGAGCTCGACAAACTGGCAAATGGGCGGAGAGGCAGCAGCGCCACTGCCGAGGTCTTCCGGCCCACTGGCAAGATCGGCCACGGACAAAGCTCCACTGCTTGCCGAAGGTGACTGGCTCTCCTGCTCCGGCCATCCAACCATCTTCAGGTGCCCGGTCACCAGCAGAGGGTAGAGTGCTGCCGGATCCGAGACCGGCGATAGGTGTGACGCAAAGCCCTTTGCCCTAGACTTGGAGGCCGCCCCGTGCGGCTGAATAATGCCGATCTGCGGGTGGAGCTTCTCGTTAGCCGGCGAGGCATGGGTCAGTTCTTGCGAGGCGAGTTTGAGTCGTGTCGTGATTGATTCGATCTCGGCCTCGCTGGCGCCACACGCAGTCGCTTCGCGCAGTTTGGCCTCGAGCACAACAACCTTGGCCTCGGCCACCCCAACCTTGGCATGAGTCACACCGACCATAGCCTCGGCCTTGTCAACCCTGGTCTCGGCCTCGTCGACCTTGGCCTCGAGCACGACAACCTTGGCCTCAGCTATGCGCACCTTGGCCTCGGCCACCCCGACCTTGGCCTCGGCCACTCCGACCATAGCCTCGGCCTTGTCAACCCTGGTCTCGGCCTCGTCGACCTTGGCCTCGGCCTCGTCGACCTTGGCCTCGAGCACAACAACCTTGGCCTCGGCCACCCCAACCTTGGCATGAGCCACACCGACCATAGCCTCGGCCTTGTCAACCCTGGTTTCGGCCTCGTCAACCTTGGCCTCGGCCTCGTCGACCTTGGCCTCGAGCACAACAACCTTGGCCTCGGCCACCCCAACCTTGGCATGAGTCACACCGACCATAGCCTCGGCCTTGTCAGCCGTGGCCTCGGCCACGTCGGCATCCGTTGCGACTCCAGCATGCCGTGCGCCAATCACTGCCTCGTGCCTAGCCTCGGCCACCCCGACCTTGGCCTTGGCCACCCGGATCTCGGCCTCGGCCACTCCGACCATAGCCTCGGCCTTGTCAACCCTGGTCCCGGCCTCGTCGACCTTGGCCTCGAGCACGACAACCTTGGCCTCGGCCACCCCAACCTTGGCATGAGCCACACCGACCATAGCCTCGGCCTTGTCAGCCGTGGCCTCGGCCACGTCGGCATCCGTTGCGACTCCAGCATGCCGTGCGCCAATCACTGCCTCGTGCCTAGCCTCGGCCACCCCGACCTTGGCCTTGGCCACCCGGATCTCGGCCTTGGCCACCCCGACCATAGCCTCGGCCTTGTCAACCCTGGTCTCGGCCTCGTCGACCTTGGCCTCGGCCTCGTCAACCTTGGCCTCGGCCTCGTCAACCTTGGCCTCGGCCACTCCGACCTTGGCCTCAGCTATGCGCACCTTGGCCTCGGCTATGCGCACCTTGGCCTCTGCTGCCTTCTCCCCCTTTCCCTCACTCATGCAGCTGTCGTACGCCGCCAGGGCAGAGTGGTAGTTCTTGCAGGCCGTTTCAACACCCCTTCTTGCCCTGCATGCATCCTTCCGCGACCTGGCCGGTGAGTGTCTCCTCGCGGTGCTTCGCGCCAACTACGACCTTTTTCTGTACCCACTCACCCCTTGCCTTCCCCCATCCACCCCCATCCCACCCCCAACCACCCCCCCACCCAGCCGCACGAGCACCTACATGTCTTGGAGAAGATTCACACTCATAGTTCAACCATGAACGAGAGAGGAGTGGTGTGAGAGAGAGAGTGTGTGTATGTGCCCGGGGTCTCGCGAGCCGCCTGATCACCCGCCTGATCACCCGCCTGATCACCCGCCTGATCGCCGCCTGATCGCCTGCTGATCGCCCGCCTGCAAGGCTTGTCGCCTCGTAACGGCGTCAGCAAGCCTTTCGCACCGCCACCTCTCTCCGTCGTTCTCTTCTCGCCTCAGCCATGGTATGTGCATCACAACTTCCCCCTCCTCCCCCCCCTCCCCCCCCCTCCTTGTTACCGCCATCTCCTTCCTGCAACTCACCTTGCACACCTCGGGCAGGAGCGACTGTACCATATGTCGCAGCTGCGACGGGTCATCGACGCCCGCGAGCTCGACTCCATGGTCTTCTACGAGCCGGTGGTGGTCAAGGACGGCGGGAAGGAGTTCGACGCACTGTGCGCGGTCTTCCCGGACGCCATATATGTCGTGCCTCTCGGTTCGTACGACCCGCCCGAGCCCATCGTCCTCGTCGACGTCCAAGGCGTCTTCACCTCTGCCCATGACGGCGACCCGCTCACTGACCCCGAGCTTGCCGCCGTCTCCATGTCCATCACCATCGTGACTGGGCAGCGCCATGGCGCCGACGCCGAGCTGCACGATGGCGACCGCCTGCGGCTCGACGCCTCGCTGACTAACCTTGGCGAGTCGCTTGACCGCTCGTCGCTCCTCCGCGCCTCGGCGTCGGCCGTCAACGACTCGGGCCTCTCTGCAGCGTCTGCGGCTTCGTCATCAGCCTCGAGCGCAGGCCCGTTTGCTGGCACCGATGCTGCCGACGGCACTCGCCACTACCACATCCACACCACACTCCGCCTCTCCAAGCTCCTCCACTACATCGAGCGAAGCTGGACCGCAGCCGTCCTGGCTGCCGCCATGCCGCGGCGTCGCCGGCTCGCGGACCCATCGACGCCAGCGCAACTCCGTCGCAAGGAGCTCTCAGCCTTTTTGAGGACATCCAGTCCGAAATTGTCTCGGCCCGAGATCTCGCCACACGCTTCCGCGCCGTCGAAGAGCTGGCCCTCGCCCTCGCCGCCGACCGCTGGCTCAAGCACGAGTTCTGGCTCTCGTCGCAGCTCCTCACCTTTGTTGTTGACGAGCTGGAGTTCTACCTTGCAGACACCGAGTTTCGCTTTGACGATCCCGAGGTACCGTGGCGCGTCGCCGGCCCGTCCCGCGCCGACGAGCTGGAGTACGCCATTGTCCTTGTCCAGCTTCTCGGCGCCGCCGTTGATGCCTCTCACGGTATTGACGGCCGCATGTCACTACTTACTCGCGTCGAGCCTGACCTCGACGACATCCTCCGCATTGTCCTCCGCGATCCCACAGAGATGTTCTACGCCGAGAATGAGCGCGGCGCCTCCTCCACCCAACCGTCCTTCTCGCCGAGTCTGCTCTCGTTCGACGATGACGATGCCCTCGCTCCGCGTCCGCCATTGGCCTACGGCCTCGGTGGCGCAAGCTCGGAGCTCACACCCGAGCTCGTTCTCAAGCTCCGCGAGTACTACATCGAGTCGGCCGCCTTTGTCTACAGCCTCTTCTACTTGCACCAGGAAGCCGCGCTCTGCGAGGTCCCGCTCTCGCGCAATCATCCACGCACCCTTGTGGCCCTCCTTGTTGACATTCAAGGCTTTGTTGACCTCTCTGGCCGCATCACTGAGTATTGCGACTGCCGCGTCGGCGAAATCGTCCAGCGGCTCGCCTCGCTCATGACCACTTACTCGGACGCCGAGGACTCGGCCCGCGGGCCTCGTGCCTACAAGCTCGCCAAGCTGCTCGTTCTTCTCACAACTTTCTCCAAGCCCATCCACGCTCACCTTGTTGCCATGCACACCGAGGCTCTCCTCTACGTTGCATGCACCCCTGAAGCCTACGCTACGCTCGACCCGAGCAATCCGCTGACACCGCACCTCATCCAGACCTGCCGCGACCTCGCTGCCGCCGCCTCGGTCCCGCTCCGCAAGCTCACCGCTTCATAGCGCACTCGAGCACACCGTGGATCATTTACTCTTGGCTTTTGGCAACGATAAACTCGGTGCACCAAGCCGCGGCCTCGTCGACACAGTACGCGCAGTGCGCGTCGCCGACGCCAAGCAGCTCGTACCGGCCCTCCTTCGAGACCTCCAGCACGCGGCTCGGCTCGTCCATCTCCACCCGCCACACCTCATCACCGTCGGTGTACGCCACCCGCCATGGCCCGTTGCCCTGGGTATCGATTCGGATGTCGGCCGAGTCGCCCGAACACACCACGTACTCACCGCCCGAGAGTTGCGCCCGCGGCATCGGCAACGTCTCCACGCTCACCATCCCATGCGCCTCGCCGCGTCCGCACAGCGAGTCGTGCACCTCCAGCAACTCGTACACCCCGGGCTCGGCAACCTGGATCAGGTGCCGCACCCCAGTCGCAATTGACGTCCGCAGCTCAGACTCGCCGCGCCGCTTGTACACAAGCTTAAACGGCGCCACACCCTCAAGCTCCACCACAAGCGAGACCACGTTGTGGGTCGGCCCGGCCGCGCAGAGCTGGCCCGACCCGACTCCACCTTCAGCTTCGCTGAGGAGCACCGCACGCGGCCGCGCGTCGACCACCACGCTCGCCTCTGCCAGCGTGCCGGGCTCGGACGCGCAGTACGCGTCGGCCACCCACTGCAGGCCAAACTCTCCCGCTGACCGCGGCACGACAACGTGCTCGTGGCCCGCCACCTGCTCGCGGACCTCCTCACTGCTGCCCAGCGTGTATCCGAGCTGGAACGGCGGACTCCCCTCCAGAACCACGTTGATCACGTCGTCGACGCACACAGAGAGCTGTGCCACAATGGCAGACGGCACCGGCCGGAGCACAACCTCGGCAGTCCCGGATGCACTCCCGCTGCATCGCGAGTCCGTGACAGCCTCCACCCAGTGCCGGCCCTCCTCATGCACCTCGATGAGGTGCGGCGATGTCTTGAGCGTCAGCTTGTTCACCACCGCAGCCCCGCTCGCTGCGCCGGCGGGGAGGAACCAGTGCTCCAGCTGCCACGGGCCGATGCCCGATGCGTCGAGCCGAACAACTCCGGCCGCGCCCGGGCAGAGCGCACCGCCGCCCGACACACGCACCGCCGGGCGCTCTAGGTAAGCCACCTCCACAGAGCCTGACGGGTCGCCAAAGCATACCCCATCGAGCACCTGCTCTACGTAGTAGCTGCCTGTACTCTCCACCGCAATCTCCGTCCGCCTCTCTGACACAAGCGCCGTGTGCCTCCATGACGGGTTCGCCCGGTTGCGGACCTTGATCAGCGTAGGCAGGACCGCAGATGCGCCAAGCTCGATCGCAATTGTCACCTTGTCGCCCGGGCATATTTGTCCACCGTCGCCCACCGCGGAGAGGCTCACCTGCGGACGCTCTGCCAGCAGAATCCGCAGCGGCGTCGCGTCGACTGTGCCCTCAAAGTTGGCGTCGACTACAGAGACAAGCTCGACTTGAGCGACGCTTGTCACTGGGATGCTGTGAATCCGGCTCCGGAGCCCGCGCTCCACAACGCTCTCGCCGTTGATCGTGTACCGGAGCGTAAATGGCGGCGTGCCCTGTAGATGCACGCGCATCGCAGACGCACCCGAGCACACACGCACAATGCCTGCCTTGGGGAAGCTCATGCCTGCCAGCGACTCACGCGGCGGCCACTCTCCGTCGTCATCGATGCCGGCGTACGTCGACGCTGGCACGCAGAGCGCCGGCATGTTGGCCCGCTTCCGCGCCACACACCTCATCAGCTCACTTCCGTCGTCTACCGCGCTTGCTTCGTAGAACACGCCCGCAACCGTGGCTGTCGGCTCCCGCTCCGGCGACTCGCCCGTCGGGAGGAAGAGCGCGCGCTCGCCGTCTCCGAGCGACGCAACCGGCGCAAACGCACAGTAGCCAGCCACATCGGCATCGGTCAGCAAAATCCGCGGCACGCCCACGGACGGCGGCGGAAGCTCCAGCCATGCCCGCGGCTTGGGCTGCAGACTCAGCGTCACGCATCCCGTCACCGTCCCGTGCGGGCAGAGCCCGTCACCCACCGCGCGGACGCAGACCCGGCTCGAGTGCTCCAGTTTGAACCGCAGTTCGTCGCTCTCGATGCCGTCAAACACCCGCCCGTCGTCGAGCTCCACACGAAACGGCGGTGTGCCCATGAGCGAGACAACAGCGTCGACGCTCGCGCCCTCGGCAAGCACCGCTCGCTCGCCGCAGTCCAGTACCCGCCCGTCGTCGAGCTCGCCCCACATCTCTGCCGAAGGCACTGGCAGCGCCTCGATCGCCACCGTATCGCCACCGTCGATGCTTCCGCTGCACTGCGCCTGAGATGCGTCGCGCAGCTCCAGCAGCTGGACCACTCCAGGCTGTGCCTGAAGTGTGTACGAGTGAGACGGGACAGTGACGCTTGCCAGCCGCGCGTGTTGGTCACCAGCCGCCTGCGTCGTGTAGCTCAGGTGGAACGGCGGTGTGCCTGTGAATGAGAGCGCAATCGACGCTGGCGCCCCGCCTGATGGCAGCGGGCAGACCGACCGGCTCGGCGAGCCTACAACACGAACGCTCGGTGGCTCGATGGCCTCGAACACAAGCGCTGAAGCACTCGAGTTGCAGTGCGCATCAGCGAGCCACTCGTACCGGATGACGCCGGGCTGCGAGGTGTCCACCGCATGCGAGCTCGCGTTTGCCGGCAGCGAGACCGCCTCAGCACTACCGTCGGCGGCCACTTTGCCAAGAGTAAACGGTGGATTGCCGTCGACGTAGATGGCCAGAGGATCGCCGACGCACACGGCGCCGACCCGTGGCTCCGCCCGCCACCGCGGCGCCGCGTGCCGGACCACGGTCACCTTGCCTCGCACGAAACCGGTACAGTGCGAGTCGGTGAAGATCCGCTCCGACGCAAGAAGGAGGCTCGACGTCGGCTGCGTAAAGTGGAGCAGCGAGACGCCGGTCTGGTTGAACATGCCGTACTCGCCGTCCTCGGTCACTGCCACCCGATGCGGCGACGCCGTGATGTTGAACAGCCAGAGGTAGAGCGAGCCATCCTTGGTTAGCGCCGCGTTCCATGGCGGCGAGCCCGAAAAGTGGACCACCAGCTCGGTCGCGCCCTCGCCACATCGCGAGCACACAATGCCGTCGTCGTCGTCATCCTCAGCACCAGCGCACTCGTCGCCAGCTGCTGTGAGCACCGCTTCGGGCCGTCCAGCAAATGCCAGCACTGCCGCGCCGTTGAGGTAATCTTCTTTGGCTGAGGCAGGCGAAACGGGAGTCGGCTGTCCGGCCGGTGCTGTCGCGCCCTTCGAGCTGTCTCCTCGCCGCACCACCTCGTCGTAGTATGCGTCGGTCTCGACGGCGGTGAACAGGCCACGCCGCTGGAGCGGAATGACAAGGCTAGCAAGGTCGCGCGGCGACTTCCACGCTGCACGTACAAGCTCCAGCACAAGATCAAGCGGCGAGTCGTGAAGCCCGCGGAGCGAGTCCAGAAAATACACCACTTCGCGGAGAGTGACCAGGCCGTCGCCCGAGAGATCCATCTCGACAAAGAGAAACTCAAGCGCGCCATGCGACGAGTACCGAAAGCCGGCCCCAGGCTGGCCCATGTCAAAGATAACACTCGAGACAGCCTTGAGCAGCTGCGGGATGAGTGCAGGCGCGTCCGCAGTCGCTGCCGCCAGCGCCGCCGTAAACTCGGCTTCCGACACCACTCCTTGCGGCGCCTCGCTGTATGCTCCGTCAATGACCGCCGCCAGCGCTGCCGTACTCTCGCCGGCAGTGGCGAGATCGTTGACAATGTCAGCCATAAAGTACCGCGGCACCGCATCGAGTGCTGTGTGGTCGCCACCAGTCCGCGACTCGGCCTCGCGGTAGACAACCGATCCAAGCAGGGCCACATCGGCATCATCGAGCGCAAGACCAGCCGCCTTGACAGTTTCCAGCAATGCATCCCGGCTCGGTGCGCTGTCCGCCACCACGCTGATGCCGGCCTGCGCCAGAGCAGACGCTAGATGCAGATCGCGGATCATGAGCGTGGCGCAGCTACGGTCAAAGGCCGCCCGCGGGAGCCCAGCATGGGCCGCCACACGCCCCCACTTGAGCGCCGCCGGCCACGCCGCCACCTTGGCCGCCGTGCCTTTGTCGAGCACGCCTTCGCCAGCCACCACCGCGTCCTGCACCACTGCCACCAGCGCGTCGCGCGCGACTGGACCATCCAACCGCTGGGAAGCCTTGCTAGCAAGCGCCCGAACGCCTGCCATACCTAGCGCCACCAGCCGGTCCTTCGCGCTCGCCTGCATGATTTCGACGTCGGCCCGCGGGGCGCGCCCGGCCGTCATCCCCGGCGCCGCAAGCATGGTCAGCGCCTCTTCCAGCTGAACGGTCGAGACGGCCGACGCCGCCGACGCCGCCAGCGCCGGAGCCAACGCTTCCGTCAGCGCGTTATTCTTAGGATCAAACTCGCGCACAGGCGCTCCGCGCGGGCCCGGTACGGCGCCTACTGACGCGTTGCTGGCATGCGGCAGCGCGCCGAGCTCGCCCAGCTCACCGCCGCTCCCGGCCAGGGCCACTGCAAGCAGCGGGAACGCGACCGTAAAGACCAGCGCCGGGAGTGGGCGGTTCGAGGACCACAGTAGGTACGCCACGGCGGCCGTCGCCGCCACCAGCGACAGACTCATGCCGCCAAACCACATCGCGCCCAGCGCGAGCAGGATGACCGCTCGCGCCGCCGCCAGCCGCCCCTGTACAGAGCCAAAGGCACACATGACGCACGGGGCTTCAGCACTCTCTGCCTGAGTGCTCTTCTTGTTCTTCGGCTCGCTTACCTCTCCGCTCTGTTTCCACCTCGCCGTGAAGCACTGGTGGGGTGGGAGGGAGGGGGGAGTGGTGGTGGTGCTCAACCCGTCCCGCCGCCGCTCGCTCGTCCAACGTGTCGCCGCCACTTTCGGCCGCCGAGTCGCACTCGCCAACCGTACGCGTTCCGGTGCCAACGCAAGTCATACTCATACACCAACACCGTTCCATCCCACTCATCTCTACGGGCAACCCTGGCCGTTAGAGCCCGGCTGCCGGGCTCACGCCATGTCGTCCAAAGTCGCGCCGCATAGCGGCCCCGCTCCGGGTGACGCGCGCAGAGCCGGTCGCCACGGACGTGGGAGCCGACCCCGCCGCGGGCGGGATCAGGGCATGACGCCTGGACCTGTTCCTGCCGACTCCAGCAGCCAGCCAGACGCGCCAAAGTTGCCGTCATTGTCTCAGCCGGCGTCCTCATCGTCGGCGTCGTCGGCATCGTCGTTGTCACCAGCTCCGCGGGCGTCGCCGCTGCCGCCGCCGCCACACGCGGTGCGATGGTCGCGCCACGGCGATGGCATGCGGCTGCGGCACAAACACAGCTCGTCGCGGCTACACGAGATTCGCACAGATGCCGAAAGCGGACCTCTTGGCGCCGAGTCGCTGTCGTCGTCGTCGGAGCTCTCGCATGATATTTTGCTCGTCAACGAGAAGGCTGACTTTGACGAGATCATGCGCAACATGCCCTGGATCGCCGCTTACCAGGCTGTGCTCATGACTTTGGGCATGGACCAGGCGGCCGGCAAGCGACGATCGGTCATAACCACCTTTCGCTCGCTCATGCTCTCACTGTTATTGTTTTCTGTTTCCTTGGTTGCATTCTACAATGCCACTCGCAACGAGCGGTGGACAATGCTCACGCTCATCGGCCTGTGGTACTTCCACTGTGGGGTCTTTCTCGGCGTCATGACCCTTCACATGCCCTCGCGCTGGTTCCGGCATCTGATCGTCTCGCTGGTAGTCCACGCTGCCGACGATCCACTCGTCTCGCTCTCGAGCGAGTCTGACGGTGGCCGTGGGTCAAGGAGTCGCAGCGAGGCCGTGCGCCAGCGCGCGCATGCCGACATTCTGCCGACTCACTTTCTCAAGATTCTCAACCATGGCTTTCGCTACCTGATGATTGCACAACTGGTGGCCATTACCTTCAACGTGAGCATTGGTGCCGCATTCTTCATCGACATCGGCACCGCAACCGATGTCTACATCTCAATCATCCAGCCTTTCGATTCGCTTGGCTTCAAGATCTTTGCCTTTTTTTCGAACACAGTGGCCACAGTGGTGTGGATCTTTCCGCTTCCGCCGTTCCTGCTCAGCTTGTACATCCTGCACAAGCAGTTTGCGCATCTCGCTGATGCGATTCGTCGCGGCGCCATTCCATTGCCGGAAGACATGGCGGTTACTCACCAGCGTATCCATCGGCGCTCGGTCTTCCTCACCCACTTTGCGCGGTGGCCCATTGGTCTCAACATCTCCTCGCATGCCGTCTTTTCCGTCTTTCTCTCCTACCGCATCGTGACCCAGGACTCGGCCGATATGGAGCTGTTGGTCATCGAGATGTTCTGGCTCTTGGCCGCCACCCTTGTTATTTTTGTCATCACCTTTCTTGCCGCCTATGTCCACTCGTCGGGCTCAGAAGCCATGGTCTTTGCCATCGCCGATGTCCACGCGCCGACTTTCGACATGCGGACCGAGCTGGAGTATGCACTCTCCACCGTCGAGCGCCGCGCCTCGGGCTTTCGCCTCGCCAAGACCTTCCTCATCACTTGGACCGTTCTCGCCAAGATCGTATCGCTCTTTGTCTCCTTCCTGGCCCTTCTCAACAACATGCGTGGCCGAAATTGAATTCCCTTGCCCAATGCCGCACGCCGTCGCCTCCCTTCCGATCGCAGCGTTCCGGTCACCCAGGCACTCGGCAACGACCCACCACCACATCGCCACTGTGCACCACCTCACCCCCCCCCGACTTGA